CTTTCTCCTAAATAACCAAAATATCCAATAATTTTTCCTCCGTCCAAATAATCATTTCTTCATAATTCAATTATCATAAAATATTCCAAATCATATATTTAATATCCGGAAATCGAGCTACGAAAGCCACCGGTTCGAATTAATCAAATAAATTTTTAAAAAATTCTTTAATTCACCAAAATACATCTACAACTAAAATAAAACCACCAAAATATACAATAAAAATATTTTATATATAATATATTAAAATATATTTCAATATATATAATTAAAATCAACAAAACATAAAATATTATACCACATATTAAAATAACCATTAATATAATATAATATTAATAATTTACCCAATATATAAATTTATTAATATCTATTTTAAATATTTATAAAATATTTATTTCAAAAATTAAATATTCTTACAATTTTATTCATAACAATTCAATCTTAATTTAATAAATATAAATGCATAAATAATATTTAATATATTGTTAATTTCGATCCTAAACCCAATAATCCAACAAAAACAAATATCCTATAAACCGTAATATCGCAAAATTAAAGACAAAATCGAAATACCACGCGAAAATCCTATCATTTAAGTAAATCATGAATACAAACGTCGAGAGCAGCACATGCAGCGCTGTCATGAGCTCGTGCAGCACATGTGGGCACACGTATGGCCATGTGGTGATGCTTGCATCGCGATGGAACAGTTGTTTAGCAGAGACACAACGCCTGAATTTGCAATGTTGCCACTGCCGAATGGGCGAACTCATGCCCAGCTGTTGGGGATTCTTGCTTGGGCTTAGTTTCTTTAGTCGGTTCTCGGGACGAATACAAAAGCTTCTTACTAAGCTTCTATTCTTTGTGTTCAAGCAAAACAGCACTATATCTTTCTTATCTTTCATCATTGGATCATTGAATGCATTTTTTTGAATGTATTTGCGGACACATCGCTCGTCATGAATATTCCGAATGCACCCTTCAGACAGAGTCGCCGCATGGCCCACCGGCCAGGTGTATGACCCGGTAGTTCCAATCAAGACCAAGGAGGGGTCAAGAAGGTTCACTTGGTTTGCTCCCACTTGGAAGGCCCAAATGATTCTCTCAACCATCCCACAAATCGAAGCTTCGAAGCTTGACACTCTGTCTTGACCTCCAAACATCCTCCAGGCCGAAAGAACGACTTGCGTCGACTCTCTGCCAGCTGACTCTCTCGGCAGCCGATGTGCGGACCGCAGGAATGGACGCCCAGTCGCACCGTTGGACGCCAAATGACCCGCCACAAAACCCGAAGCACTCCACAGACTGTATTCTAATCACCAACAGGAAAGTGGCTGGAAAATCCCTGGACCAACCATGGATTCCAAATCACACCCGACACAACCAACTCGGTCGGACCCATATCACTCGCTTGGTCGGACCCACAGATCCTCGCTCTCACTTGTATATCCTGTGTTCATTCGATCGTTTTGTAAAATCCCAATTGCTACGAGTTCCCAGATCGTCCCTCACTTGGATCGCCTGGCGTCTCATCGCGTCCCCACACGTCCTCCGGGAGACCCCGCCACACGTCCGTTCCCGCGGGGGCGCGACCCGGCGGCATTCCGTGCGGCCGAAGCTTTCGAGAGCCGAAGTGTGGAGCTGCCTACGTCGCAGTTCCAACCAAAGTATGCTGGAGGCTAAGGACTAAGGAGTTAATGGAGCTACCCCAAAAATTGGAGTTGTCCTAAGTCCTAAGTCACTAGACCCCAGTATAGAGACATCAAATTCAACATGACTGAAAACTATGAATATTATTTGGGATCCTATTTGCGTGATGATCGATGGTCTATATTTGGGAGGCAGGATGACTCCAGAAGTTGAACCATGACCGGTCTCCCGCCACTCGTCCTTCGTTCGCTCCACCGGCTTTCTTCCGTTCGTCTGAACGGCTCCGTCCACCTCCGGCCCTCTTGGCTTTCGTCACGGTCGTCCTTCGCCGAGGGTCGCCCAGTCTCGTTCCGGCGGCCGGCCACGAGAAGAGCTGGTCTTTTTGGGGCGGCAGCTCGGAGCCAGATTCTTCCTGGACCTAGTATATGTGTATACCATATAGGATACCTATAATTAGTATATATACCATATAGGATACCTATAGGAAACTACCTACTAATATTCGTGGCTACTGGCACAACCGGAACAGAAACCAGCAACAACCTTCTGGTTGATCTGATGTCCCATCCTCGTTCTGGAGGGTCAGGACAGCTTCCTTCCAGTCCTCTTTCAATGGAAAAAAGGCCGCACTGGCAGAGTCTCTTGTGGAAAGAAGGTCAGTCAAGATCTCCGCAGGGGTGAACGGGTGAACCTCTGGATGTTTTCTAATGAAGGCCATTATGAGGTCAACCAAGTGACCAATGTGCCATGTTTCAGGCATTGTTTCTGTTGGCACTTCTTTTTGATGTTCGCTGGTTGAAGCAGCCCCTGCGGAGATTCAGGGGTTTAGCACCAGCTGCACTGTCCCTCTTAACCTTCTTCCAAGCGAAGAGCCCTTGTCAGCAGCAGCAGGGGG